AAAATCTCAAAAAAAAAGTTTATATAATTTTGAAAATAATTTACGAACTTTGGTTTATATTTTATTAAAGAAGATTATTTGTACATAGGGGTTGTTCATTAAAATTTTCTAATAGGCATGATTGATTTGACAAGATATATTAAAGCACATCAAAGAAAGTACAAAGCCTTCTATGAAGTAAATGTCTTTGTTCCCAGATTTTCATGATTGAAAATTAAATGAAACGGTGACGTTTAACGAGTAGACAAATAAACATGACTATTTTCGTTGAATTTACTTTAGAAATTAGTTATCTCACTTTTTCTTTTATAATATCCTTTTCTATTGACTTTGTTGGAAATTTTCACAGAGTAAAAGCTGTATTTTAAATACAGCAAATAATAATATAAATAAAATTAAGGACTCTAACATTAATTTTAATATTTTAACAACCCACCATAATTAATTAAAAGTATCGTGAAATAATAATTTATATAATATTTTGATATTAGTTAAAACAAATCTACTTAAAAAAAGAAAAACTCTTATTATTTATAAAGCGTGTGTGATACAGTATTCAACAGAAGAAAACAAAAATTCATTAATAAATATAAGCTTGATCTAATAAATGATAACACAGAAATAGTATATTTTCTCAATAAATTAACAATAATATAATAACATAAATTTAGCACGCGTTAATTTTCCAGAGTTTATTGATACTTCGATTTTCGAATCGAGAGCAAAGGTATAGGTAAATATGAAGATTTTCCTTTTTTCTTTTTTTTTTTTTTAAAAGAGACAAAGAAACATAGTATCGATTTCCATCGAATCGAGGGTAGATATTTGTTACGAACTTTCGACCCTCCATATTCGCAAGCATTGGAATCCAGGACACGCTTAATCATTATCTAAACAACGTACGATCTTAAAACAAATATTATTATAAACATCTTAATACTATTGACTATTAATAATAATTAACAATCGTCTGATAATTATTTTAAACAGATATTTTTATAAATGATCAAAGATTATAATTGTTTTATCAACGACAATAAAATCCTGAGAACAACACAATGGAATTTACAAAGCTTAAATATATATAAAACAAAAGGTTCGGTGATCTTGCAGAATCGATAGTACAAATTTTCTTATCGACCCTATTTCATTTAAGAGAAAAACAATAGAGCGCTTTTATAAAATTGAAAGAATTGTTAAAGATTGTATCTTAATAAAAAAATAAAAAATAAAAATAGGAAAAATATTTAAAAAAAGATTTAAATAGGAAATTGTAGACATCACTAGATTTAAGTATATACATATATATACCAATAAATTGTAAAATACTAACAGAAAGAAGGTGGAGGTGGAGATGGAGGAGACTGAGACTATTCTAATCGCGTGAAGACTTTTTTATCCGAGCCTTGGACGACATACAATACATACATACACACATACACGTATATGTATATATACATATTCCTCTCGAGGGTATCGACGCGATCACTCGAAACATCGTTGAAGTTCGATAAGATTCAAGACGATCGTTGGCACACGTTCGTACGCGTTCGTTTGATGAAAGATCAGTAAGAGTGTCTCCTTCTCCCTCTTCCATCAGTGTCTTTCCGTGTGTCGGTTATCAAGGGTTGTATATACGTACAATATCGTAGAATAAGAAGTTAAAAAAGGGTAGAAAGAAAAAAGAAAGCGACCAAAAGAGAGAGAGAGAGAGAAAGAGAGAGAGAGAAAGAAAAAAGTGTTGAGGTTGGTGTGCTAGGTCGCGAAATTAGAACGTTGCATTCGTAAGGATCGCAGGTGTTTCTCCCTTTACCCCTTTAGACTTTATGGGTATGTCGAAGAGGGGATGTAGAAGTAGGGTGAGGTGAGAACGGAGGAGGACGTAGCCATCAATAGGAATAATACGAGGAACAACTATGCGACGGCAAACCACCCTTCGTACTGCATAGCTAGAGAAATGAGAGTGTAACGACCTTACACCCCCTCAGGTAGAACAGGATCGATGAGCTCTCTCCCTCTCCCTCCCTCTCTCTCTCTCTCTCCTTCTCTTTCTGTCTATCTGTCTATCTATCTTTCTCACTCAAATTCTTTCTCTCACTTGCTCTCTCGCAGCTATCCACTCATCCACGACTCGATTCTCTCGCACCCCCTTTTTCCTTCTCCTCCTACCCCTAGTCTCCTCTTCCACGGATTGACTGCTGCCACCGGCACAACCGCGGGTTGCCCTACTTTTTGATCACGTTTCGCTACCCTCCACGAGTCTGCTGCCTTAGTTTTTGCTGCATTTCGAGGCCTAGACTTCTTCTTCTTCTTCTTCTTCTTCTTCTTCTTCTTCTTCTTCTTCTTCTTCTTCTTCTTCTTCTTCTTCTTCTGCATCCTTTTCTTTCTTCTTATTCTTATTTATATTCTTATTTTTCTTCTTCGAGCTACTTCGAGATCGTGGCTGTGAACGATCTGTTACGCGGAAATATTTATGCGAGGTTAAATTCGCGATGATTTCCGGATAACGTAAGAATTCGGCCTATTGAATTCTTGTAATCGTAATTAAAACAAGGATTTCTGAATTTTGGAAAGACAAACTTTATTTAACACTTTACCGACCGGCAGTCGATTAATCGACTTTTTGTTCCCAGCGCTTACCGACCGGTAGTCGATTAATCGACTTTTATTCCACAGAACTTACCGATAAATATTGTTTGGCGCTAATATCATTAAAATAAGAGATTTTATTAAATTTAGTTATCCTATAAAAACACAAACATTTATCATATTACATATGCACATGGATGATTACTGTGGAAAGGAGTATATTATAATGATTATTTGAAAGTTAGAAAATTGTTAAAATATAGTTGTATTTTTTCCTGAGTTTTATAATATATGTGCCCATAATTATGAGAATGGTCTAAGTAATGTATCTCTTGTTTCGAGATATTTAAAGATTTCTATTTGAACATTATATGAATTCTATGTAATATTGAACAAACAAACATTATCTAACGATTCATTTTTGACAATATCGTGAAAATTACATTGAATTTATTTAGTTTAAAATAATGTGGTGCGTAATAACTAATAAACTCATTTTTTTTTTAATTTTGACTTAGATCACTTTCATAATTATGGGCACATATTAGGTTTCCGATTATGATATTTTAAAGCATACAATGATTTACTAATAATAACTAATAATAATAATATAATAAACTATTATGATAGTTCTACATATTTGTAAAATGGGTGTGTTTTAGTGTAAAGTTTGTTAGAATTTTTTCAGGCATTTCCAATATTAAAATTCTTTTAAACGAAGAATCATCGGTGCTCATGATCGTCAACGAGTTTTTAAAAATAATCAAAATTATTAGAATAATAGTTATTTTTAATGAAAAGTCAACCGAGTTTTTCTAACATCACATAACACTGACGATAAAACAAATTGTGTTTAATACGTGTGTTTAATAATTTTGTGAAGAAAATCTATTTGAATGTAATAAAGATCCTTATGAACACTACATTTTTTATGGTGTATGCACATAAGTGCACAGAAAGTGCAGCGTGATACTAATACGAAATAATCGCAAATTATGCGCATAAAAATGCGCAACTTAAGGTAGAAGTGTTGATACAAATTAAACATAGAATAATACAAATCAAAAAATTATTAAACATATTCAAAAGAAAATAAAATAAATGCAAATCAATGTGTAAGACATTTATACAAACAAAAAATTTCTGCAAAATTTCGGCACTTAAAAACGAAAACATAAAACACCATGAGACAATATTTGTTTCAAAAGCATTCAATCTTCTCTTAAAGGCATCTATGTAATTAATAATTATATAGATTATATGTAATTATACAGATATTATTTACAGATTGTATGTAATTATAAAAGATAATATTTCAAGCTTTAAACTGTTCCTTCATAAAAACATACATTTTCATATTTTATAATTGGACCAACGGGATATGATAATGTGCCCGACACATTGATGACGATCAGCATTGAAACGCCATCTTTGAGGACGTAATAAAAATATGATGAACGACATCACGCAATGTTACAGTTTATTCGTTATATCTAGTTCATTTTTGTTAATTAACATTTATACTATTTATTATATATATTTGATATATTATTATATAACTTATAAACAAAATTAACAAATATTATTTTACAATATCAATCAATGAAAAGAAAAATAAAAATTTTAAAAATTATTTAAAATATAGTATAAAACCGATTTTATTTAAAATAAACATTTTTAATAATTTATAGAAATCTATTCTACGTTATTTAAATGAAAACACATTTATTTAAATCTTACATCATTTTTAATACAAGAAATAATCATATAATATTGTTCGTATAAAATTTCATTAGATGTAAATTTAAAATTAGAATTTTACCTGGACAATGAGGTAAACAAAACGAAGATAAAAAAATAAAAATCGCAGCTCATGCATTTTTATAATTAGTTCTTTCGATTAGTTTTACATTAGTTTAATATATGTATACATATACAGCATTAATTAATAATCTTTAATAGTCGTCACGTTTATATTATACACAATAGGGCGTTTATTTAAATATTAAAACATATTTATAATTAATATGAATAACATATACTTGAAGTGGAACCACAATAGCAAATTTTCTGTATTTATGTATTGTGGAAATAACATAAATCTAATTATTATTTTGAATCATATTTTATTCGATAAAATTCTTCTTCTGTTAAATAAATTATTCTTATTATTATTTTTGTACTTTGTATAAGCAATATTAAAAGAATGATTTGTGTGGACTATACTATTTAATATATTAGCATTCGTGTTACATTATTTACTATTATACGTACCATGTACTATAATTATTTACATAAAAGATATCCAAATGACACCAAAAAATATATAAAATTTGATCAAATTATTACAATAAATAGAAACAAAATTATATAACTAATTATGTTAGATTTCAATCTGGTAAGACTTAGAATCAAAATCTTGTTTCTCTTATCTATTTTTCACATTATCAATAATAATCAACTATATATCAGGTTAATTGTCTTGTTTTAAATTTAATCGATAAATGATTGTATATAAGTGTAAACGTCTTAAAAGAAAAAAAATTTTAATTATATTTTCATTGCACTTTTTCACAAAGTTAACGTGACTATCATATTAAGCTCCAAATGGAGTATCTCCTTAGTAAAGAAATTTGTTTAAATGTATAACAATGTATTCATTATGAATGCTATAAATTTGTTTACCAAGTCATTTCATTTACTTGATGAAAATAAAATGCAAATGGAATAACTCGATTATCTTCATTAAAAGTCTTATATTAAGTAGTAACAAAATGAATCACATTTTGCATTAATAGAAATTTCATCATTTTGCAGTTTTTTACTTAGAACCATGATAAATCCTTTCAATGTCTTCTTACTATTTTCTTTTCCAGCTTTCGTTGTTTTTTTTCATTAACTTCTGGCTCTTCTTGAGGTGAAGAGAAAAACCATGGAGATAATATTTGTTTCCATAACATCCAACCTCCTCTTAAAGGTACCTGTATAATTTATAAGAACAATCATATTTAGATTTATTTTCTTTTTACTTTACAAAGGATTTTTAAAGGAATGTTTTTATTATTAAATGGAATAATACGTACCAAAAGCCATAAAAGCCAAAAGTAATTCGATACAAGTGAAAGTATTTGTACTCCTGATGTTAATATAATCAAGTCTTTAACATGCCTACAAAAATAAAAATATTATCTTATAATAAAGTTTACAATAAAATATACAACCATAAATAATTGTAATTATAAAAAAGATATAATAATATCTGTTAAAAATAACTCACTCTCCAATTCCACCTTCTATATTAAGATCTACTCCGGAATCTAAAAGTTGACCGGATTCTAAATAAGTTGCACGTGCCATATATGTCATAAATTGATAACTTGCAACGTATACAATTGTAGAAAAAATTGTTAATGTCTGTAATAATATAAACATTATAAAATACACTTCATATAATATATGAAATACGTAATAAATGAAAAATAATAACTCTCTATACTTACTATTATTAAAGTTGTAAATTCAAAGAAAACTAACATAAAGATAAAATATATTCCTAATGCTCCAAATATCATATTTCTGTAAAAACTTAAAGTGGAAATATTTTCTTCTACTATCTGTTTAGCACCTTTTGTTGCCACTTTGGATTTTTTTGTCTAAATAAGGAAAAACAAGTCTTCATAAGTATAAATAGTGTTATATGATATACAATATGTATGCCTAATAATTAAATATTTTTTATATGAAAATGTAAATAAATTATAAAGAGAAAAGGAAAAGAAAGGAGATTAAAACATGTGAAACAATATCATGATATTTACCGCCATTTTAATTTGTTATAAATTACACTATCTGTGAAGTAATATTTACATAAATATAAATTCGTATAATTATTATAACGTTTCTCGCACGAGGCTAACCTCATTCGTATTTTATACCGACAGTCCATGACATATCAGATTAAAATGAAAACATAGAAGAAGGGATACTGTATAGTTTGAAATTGACCACTACATGTGGCGCCATTTTAATATTTTAAGATGAATCTACTTTTCCAAGAAGTTCAATCTATGGTAAAATAGCTCAACAGATAAATTATCGACAATATACAATTTTTAAAATAAACAAAATATATATCTAATTAAATACATATATATATAATAAGATATATATATATATATATATATTATATATATATATTATATACTTTCTCTTTCTTCCTTACTTTCTCTTCATGACTCTTATTCCTCATGACTTTTTCCAAGAGTTCGTAGCTCTTATGGTTATAGTCATGACCCGACACACAGATCCAGCGGAGGGACTCGATCCGTGGGTAGTCCATAGGGAGCGCGTCAGTCTAACAGCGCCTCAACCACCTGAGCTATTCAGTGACTACAAATATATCTCTTAAC